CACCCAGCTTCCCGCCCTATGACGTTCGGACACTTCACTTCGTGGCCTGCGGACGACCGTGGCTACTACACTGGTGCATGGGTACAGTGACTTGTTGTGGTAACATTTTCTGGACGCTAGCTTAGTATACGACTTTTCCCCCTGTTCCAACACTGGACACAGGGATTGTGGCCCCTGGCAGGCGCGCGAACGCCGTTGAAAGAGCTTGCGAAAGTAGCTCGCGCGAGCTCATGTAACATAAATGTTGAAAAACCATTGGTTTTTTAGGATTCGGACAGCGCGCGCGGGTAGAAATTTTGAAAATTCGTACAGATGTTTTTCGAGGACCTACGGTGCGATTCGTATGATTTTATGTTGCGCGGTGCTAAAATTCCTAAGAAACCCAATGGTTTTTGAAGATTTCGGCGTGCGCGCGCGAAGAAAAAACGAATGTGTCCCGCATGGTATTATTTGACAGGGATGATGGCCCTGGCAGGTGCGCAACCGTTGTTGGAGAAGTTCGAAGCACGTGAAAAAGTTGCTCGCAAAAGCCCGTTTGACAGAAATGTTTAAAAAGTGTTGGGTTTCCTACGAATCCGCAAGAGCGCGCGGGATGAAATTTTGACATTTTTTTTTGAAAAACCATTGGTTTTTTGATGTTTTTATGTTAAAATCGCTACGAAAACTAAGGTTTTGGAAGGATTTCGTCTTGCGCGCGCGAATGTCCACTTTACCTTATTTTTTGCAAGGGATTCTTGAAGTTTGGTTATGCTAGAACAAGAAATGTCCACTTTAGCTTATTTTTTGCAAGGGAAAACCGATCGTAACAACACAACCGGATCCGGACTCCCCCGTTTTGCCTGAGACTTCCTCACGAAAATGATGAAAATGAGGCTGCGGCCTAGGCGCGGCGGGGGGGTCGTGCACCAGGGGCCCCAACAATAATTATTCTTTAGAAGTAATAATGTTCAACAACAACAGAAACAGCAACAGCAACAGCAACAGCAACAGCAACAGCAACAGCAACAACAACAACAAAACACGATTAATCGTCGACTCCCAGGAAATATGTGGGGGGGGCAAGACGAAAATCCAGAAGATATGGAAACAGATGGGGAATCCTGGGGTTTGTGTGTATTTGTTTATATATATACCTATACGACCACCCTGCGGGTGATAAGGAGGTTGGGGGGGAGGGGGGGCCAACAACGGGCAACAGTGGTGATTGTTGTTCTGACGATGCCTGCGGGGCGGATTCCAGCGAGGAGTGTGATTGTGATCGCGAGTGTGATGTGATGTGGCGATGTTGGCGAAGCGCACTCGACATGATCGGTCTCGCTGTCTTTTTCACTAACGGTTTCACTTTCGATCTCGCTCGATCGATCTCACTGTCGATATCACCATCGATTTCACACTCGATCTCACCATCCTTCTCACTATCCCTCGCACTATCCCTCGCGTGGGTTCCAGAGAGGCGAGCGCCCGACTGGTGCCCCGCAGGGCACCTCGAGCCGCGAGTGGCGACGACGGCGACGGCAAGGGAACCACCTGGAAGCGACGGCAGCGACGGCGACGGCCGCGACGGCGACGACGGCGACGGCGGCGGCGGGGGAACCCTCGTGAGGCTGGCGACCGGCGGCCGACGATCGACGACCGATGACGACGACGACGACGACGACGCCGACGACGACGACGACGACGACGACGACACGAAAACGGCGCCGCCGACGACGACGACGACCATCATCACCATCATCACCATCATCACCATCATCATATCACAATCGATCTGACTATCGATCTCACAATCGATCTCACTATCGATCTCACAATCGACCTCACATTCGGTCTCACTATCGATATCACGATCGATATCACAATGGATCTCACAATCGATCTCACATTCGGTCTCACTATCGATCTCGCGATCGATATCACTATCGATCTCATTCAATCGATCTCACAATCGATCTCCCAATCGATCTCACATTCGGTCTCACTATCGATATCAATATCGACATCACAATGGATCTCACAATCGATCTCACGATCGAGCTCATAATCGACCTGACGATCGATCTCACAATCGATCTCACTATCGATCTCCCAATCGATCTCACATTCAATATCACTATCGACATCACTATCGATATCACAATGGATCTCACAATCGATCTCACAGTCGGCCTCACAATGAACATCATCATCAACATCAACATCACCAACCACAACATCAACATCATCAACATCACCGTCATCATCATTATCATCATCACCATCATCTCCATCATCATCACCACCATCATCATCATCATCATCATCATCATCATCATCATCATCATCATCGGGACACCGGCGGGACACCGCGGGCCACCGGACGCCCGGGGCACCATCATTTGGTCCGGCCGCGCCTCAGCCACAGGAGACTTTCTTCTTGCCCGCCCACGCAGCTTCGCCTCGCCCGCACGCACGGCACGCACGAACACGAAGCCGAAATCGATTTCCCGGAAGGGGGGCTCTCCGTTCCACGTCGATCTCTGCCCCCAACCTCCGGTATATATATATATATATAT